GCCCTTTGTTGTTGGCTTTGTCTTTTACACGTGGCAAAATTAAGTATTTCACATCATCGGTGCTCAGACTTTGGTAAGTTAGGTATTTATATGTCTTTTGTTGTCTAAATTAACTTAGATTTATTGTAAGTTAGATATTGATTATTACTTTGTTTTTTAGGTATTTTTAGTTGGTTTACATGTTCATTATTATTATTACTTACTTTTAGACTAGGTAAATTTCGATGGTTTGTCAGTTTGATATTAATAAGTACTTTGTTAACTTGGTATGTTTAGATAATTTGTGCTTTACATATCATTCCTACTAGTAATATCTAATTCATTGTTCTATCAAAATATTTTTTTCTTGTCATTGTTAAATATGTGCCTTATAATCTTAATTTTTGGCAGTGTAGGACTTAATTTTTTTAAATTTCTACATCATTCATATGTTTGTTTATTGCCGTTGTAGGGCTGAGCTTTGCTTCAGCTCCATTTCTTACATTCTTGATACTAGAAACCAATTTTTCTTTTCATACTTTACAGTTTGGGGTTCGTCTCCACAGTACCCCCATCATTGATAGTTACTTAAAGCTGGAAGTCGAGTGTTCCAGTTTAGGGCCCTACCATTTGGACTAACTTTGGCTCCTTCTATATTTTGCTGGGTGGTAAGAATTTTTGCCCAATATCTTCACTTGATGGATCTTTGCAATCATCATTACATGGATCATGGCTCCTGCTCATTTCCCATTCACAGTCTGGGGACCACACTCATCTTCTCCTGCAAGAAGCAGCATGGGTGGGATTCCTGATAAAGTTGGAGACCTTGTTCATTTGGGGGTTTTCTTTAGTTCAAACCTTATTTGGGCCCAGCCTTCTCTTCATATTTGGGATATGGAGCAAGGAGTGCAGAAGTCCCTCACCTCACATTCTTTCACAGCTCAAGAGGTTCTATCTCTTTTGAGAATGTGGGCTTTCTTGGTAACCCTCATTCCCATGGGTCGAGCTCATATGAGTTCCCTTCCGTGGACACTTCTTGATTAGTGGAACTTTTAATTGGATCCCTTGGACCACCCTTTTACCCTTCCTCAATCATGGCTGACCTGGCTTTGTGGTTAGACAGGGACCAGACCACAGCAGGGGTTCCACTTACTCCACCTCATCTAGATTTATATCTGTTCATGGATGCATCTTTAGAGGGTTGAGGTGCTTACCTCGACTCTCTGGAGATTTCCAGTCACTAGTCAATCGAGGAGTCTTCTCTTGTGGTAGTTCATCAAGCTTTGTCCCACTTCCTCCCTCTCCTATGGGGGAGGGTGGTTATGGCACATTTTATAACTCCACAGTAATCAATTATATCACAAAGCAAGGGGTTACCAAGTCCAGTTTTTGTGCTTTCAGACCCTGGGTTTCTTTTCTGTGTCCACAGTAACCACATCATGGTCTTAGCTTTCTATGTTCTTAGTGTCCTGAATCTGGTTACAGACTGTTTATCTTGACCCAACAAGATTCTCCCCACAGAGTAGTTCTTCAATCCACAGGTCTTTCAATGGGTGTGTTCTCAGCTTGGAACATTTCATATTGATGCTTTGGCCACCCACTGGAACATCAAACTTCTTTCCTTTTTGTCTCTTGTTCCACACCTGCTAGCTCTAGGAGTAGACACATTCAGTCAAGATTGGAGGGGTCATCACATCTATGCTTATCCTCCTATTTGACTCCTCTCCATAGTTCTATCCCGAGTCTAAACCACTGTGTGTCTAGTCCTCCTGGTGGCTCTTTATTGGCTGGCACAACCATGGTTCCCATTGTTTGGACCTTTACTTGTACATCCTCCTCTACCCTTACCTCTGTCTCAGTCTCTACTTCGTAAACCTTGGTCAGACATCATTTATCCAGATGTCACCACCCTTTGTCTTCACACATGGCTTTTGTAAGTTCCATTGCCTCTGCCCAGGGACTGCCTCTACGTGTTGCATCTTTCCAGATCCATAAGACCTTCTTCTATGTCCAATTCCAAAATTGATGGTCTACCTTCCATTTTTGGTGTCTTCAACGTGGTTTATGTCCATCCCACCCTTCTCTTTCTCATCTTTCCCAATTCTTCACATGGTTGTTTGACAAAGGTTTGTCCACTGTGTCTAGCTATTGGGCAGCCTTGTCAAACAACTTCCATTTCTCCAAGTTTCTTGAGGTTTTGTTTTCTCCTGTCATTTCCCTCCTTTTCTGGTCCTTTCATACCATGCATCCTCTATGATCATTTGATTTGCCTGATTGGGATCTCATGGTCCCTTATGCCCTTCTCCATCCTCAATTTTAACATTTGTTGATGTGTTCCATATACCACCTCTTCCTAAAGACCTATTTCCTCCTCCTCCTCCTTGCTTGTGGATGTTATTAGAATCCTCTACCATTCCACTTGCATCATCCTTTATCCAAACCAGTTTTTCCTTCCTAGGACCTATGCTGCCCACGAAGGCTATTTGACTTTCACACCCATTTCCTTACTTTCCATCTCCCACCTATACCCACATTCTGATCCACATAAACTTCTTTGTCCAGTTTGCTCTTTATGGTGTTATATGATATGTACCGCTTACTTTCAGAGTTCACATTCTCAACTTTTCTTCCTTGGAATTCATCTGTTCCTGGTGATTTATTTTCTATCACACTAACTGGTTAAGTTTGTCAATTCATTAGGCTGGCGTATTCTGACTTATTCATGGAAGGTCACTGTCTTCCAAACGTTTTTTCTCATAAAATTCATCACATCACCATATCTTTGGCTACTCGTTTTTGCAGTCCATTGGAGGAGATCATTCAGGCTAGAATGTGGACTGCTCCCAATACCTTCATCACTCATTATCTGCATGATCTGGCTGTATCTTCCTCAGGTGGATATCATCTTCCTCCCATGGCGATTCTACACAATTCCAATCTATTTTGACTGGAGTAAGTCTTATCACATCATTTTGTTTATGTTTTCAGAGATTATCTTACCACTGCTAGTGGGATCCCTCTGTGTGGCAGGTGTTGCCTCGTCTGGTATTCTTTGCCTCAAATTGGCACTATTTAGCATTTGGACTATAATGTTCACTGTAGAGAAGAGGTGTTCTGCAAGACCACTGGTGGGATATCCAGTAATATATACATATGTATCTCAGTATCCATAAGTTTCACGCCTCTGTGGACCATTACTCATGGACTGTCATGAGTAAAGCAGAATGGGATTTCTGGCCAACCCCTTAATTCAATAAATCAGGAATGGTTTGCTTTTCCAAACAAGGAACCATAAATACCCATTGCACTTTTTCCAGTGTGACCTTCCCCTGGACTTCCCACCGCCTTTACTTCCTCCAATTTTTCTCTTAATGGAGCAAGGTAGCCCTTCCCAGTAGATGGGGTGGTGGACCTTGGAGGCTCACTCTTGAGTGTGTTGTAGATTTTAAATTTACCATATATCCACTCAGAAAGAAGATAACAAGCTGGTTTCTCTCTTTCCATTTCCCCCTGGATCCTTCACATAATACTGGGCTCAGGATGACACCACACTGTTCCTACAGTTGTGTGCAGAAGAGACCCCTTCTTGTTAATTCCAGTTTCAGGTGGTTCCTTTCCTGTTCCTACAGTTGAGTTTGGGGCACTTTATCTGCCTCATAATACTAGCAACAGGACATACATACACTGTTCCTATGGTTGAGCAAGTGTTCCATATCTTCCTCATAATTCTGGATGCAAGATGTCTCTTCCCTGCATTTACAGTTGGGTGAGTTAAGATTTCTGCTCATAATTACAGTTACAGATAGTGCCCTGTTCATACAGTTGAGTTGAGGCAATGCCTTGACCCTGAAAAGCCAAATTCGGTTTATTTTACTTCTTGCTCTTCATCATTCTGGTTACTTGACATATGACACTCTGTTTATTTATGGTTGGGGTTCATGTTATATGTAACACAGGCCATATGCCCTGGCCACAGTGTTTATGTTACTCTATATTTGTTTTTATCTGATTGATCCTCAACCTCCTAATGCAGAGGATGAGTTGTGGAACCTCGTCTGTATATACGTAGCTAAGTCAGTTTTTTTTTACTATGGATTGCACCTCTCAGAACAAATTACACTTGTGCTTATCCTTTTTTTTTGCACCCATATCAGGTTCATTTCCTTCTTCCAGCCTGAAGGGCATGCCTATCCCAGAAGTAGTGCAGTGCCCCTAACGCATACTTCGATTCATCTCAGAGCACACCCGTTCATTCTGAGTGATTGATTTCTGCTTGGTTTCAATGTTGTGCACCTACACTAGCCCCTTCACCCTTGCAATGTGGGATTCTAGCTTTGTGTGAGAGGAGGTGAGACCATATTGGAAGTTAGCATTTTCTTACCATGTAAATGTATTTCATATAGATACTTACTTCCATTCACACACTTCACACCCTTCCTCCCCTATGCCAGTGTTATTCTTTTAGGTCTTGCCAATTCTCAAAAGGAAGGATTTAGTGGAAATAGCAGAGGGATCTAGCTGCGCCAGTATAGGTGGTGCAATACTATTGGTGGAGAGTAGTCACATGATATGTTCATGTTCAATAGTGGACTGAAAGTGGTGGTGTGTATAGACTGGTGCGCTGAGCATGAACATTTTTTAGCAATGATTCGAAGAAGATTGAAATAGCTTTGTATAGGCGGAGGTAAGTACCTATTGGAAATAGATTTGAATTGTAAGAAAATGTTAATGTAACTAGTTTAATACTATACTTTAATTAAGTGGTAGTTTATATTTGCGGCCTGTATTAATATGTATGGCCACATTTACTATCTGATTAGATATAATGAGTCAGCTATCCAAAATTCGTTATTGGACCAAATCTAGTATTTGTCTAATTTTAATTTATATTTGTTCACATTAATATAGGAAACTCAAAGTATTTTCTGAAGAAGTTGACATGTGAAAGAGTCAAGTAAAATTGAGTAGAACATGTCCATCAGTTATTTTGATTTATTTGCTTTAATAAAGTGAAATTAAAAAGTTGTAGAATTTAATGTTTTAAAGTAGAACTTGAAAAATACAAGTTTTTGATTCAGTTTTAAACCTGAATGTTCTTTCACAGATAAGTCATCAACAGGCTGTTGAACAAGAGAAACATCGAGTCAGTGAAGCTGAAGAAAAACTGAAAGCCTTGTCTGCTGTTAGTGAGGCAAGGATAGCTAGTCTGGAGTCCCGAGTTTCAGAATTATCAGAAGTTGTTGGGAGTTATGATCGCCTTAAACAAAAAGATCAAAAAGCTATTCAACGATTGAAGGTATGGTGTTATTATAACTTTAATAAGTATGATATTAATTTAGCTCGTAAACCCCTGAGACAAGGTACAGAACTTACTATTTTTACTGTAAGCCAAAATTAATTACTACAGTGACTGGAGAACTGATAGGAATGATAAATATTACTGGTGGATTTCATATTCATGTTAAATTATTATCAGTTATTCATCAAAAATGCAATTGACTTATAATATGCTTCAGATGGTTAATGACATAATATGTACACTTAAACATAGTATTCATAGTTTTGAAAAAATAATAAACAGTAAAATTTTAAATACTTTTATGATTAACCCTATTGACACAGGCATCCTTTACTGCACATGTCATGAGGTTTCAGTGACATACATTCAAAATTAAATTAAATTACTTTTTGTTTATATTATACCAATTAGTATAGCATAAAACCATAGCTAATATTTCATATTTTAATAGTATATAAGTTTTAAGTTCTTAATTTTATAAATCAATATTTAAAAACATCCTGAATTTCCCCTAGTTTGAGAAATTACATATTTTCTCAAGGTATGTTCTCTTCTCTATTTTATTCATCACTCTGCCAATAAGTACAAAATTTAACAGATTAGTCACTATAAAATCATCATTGCTCAGACAAACCATAATTTTTATAACCTTCAATCTTGTTTGGTTATAGAGCCATCAAATAGAAAATCAGACCCCTCTTGGTACACCCATCTGTCACATCCTCTCTTTTAGGATTTGTTAATATTTCTCTCTTACTGTTATTACTATATTATGTATAACCAATAGAAAGCAAGGTTTTTATCTGTCTAGTGACATATTACATTGTTTTCTGAACAGAGAATTGTCATTTTCTCTGTTAGTACAAGCTTCATTCCCATGGGAAAGATAATGACTAGCTTGGATGAATTTGTAATGGCTCTTTTTCTATCATTCACATAGTTAGAAAACCAGAAAAACTGTTATAGTTAGGGGAAATTATCTGCTCTTTACATGTTATTATTCTATGTTTTTTGGTGCATTACTACCATTAGTATAAAAAATAGGGTGAATTGTCATCAACAGTTGACTGAAAAAAATTAAGACCCAAGTAAGTACTTTATTTCTCGTTTTCATGTTTATTTATTATTATTATAAAAGTAACTAAAATGTAGAAATAGGGGTCTCTTTAGGTTAGTTAAGGTTAGATTAAGTAAAATAAATAATAATATTGTAATAAAAATGTTTCATGAGGCACACACAGGAGCAGCTCATTGTAGCTTGTGGGTAATGTAATTTGATAGTGTAACATGAGCTGCATGCTCCCTGAGTGATTAACAACTTATAGTGGCATGAATAGTATTAGACAAAGTTCAAGGGGCAATAAAACAATAAAATTTAATTATAACTAGATGTAAACTGTTATGAGGATAAATGAATGTAGTTTATGTTACAATTTGAAGTCATTCTAGAAACAAAAAAAAGGAATTTAGATTTATTTCGATTTTTTTTTTCTGGTGTTTACAAGGTCAGTAAAATTGACCAACCTTGTATAGAGTTAGGGTAGAGAAAATAACAGATAAAATATAAAGTTTTACTGAAAACAAACATTTGAAATTTATTTAGGAGGTTTTAGAGGTTATATGGAAATGAAATTCGAGATTTTTGAGATGAAGAAAAGTATTTTTAATCTTGACATGAAAATCATGTTACACACGGACTATTCAAAACAAACACTCAATATATTCAAGGACAACTCTTTTTCTAGCTTTTTAAAAATACTTCACTAAAAGATATGATTGTTTTTTATGTGGAAGACTCATAATGTTTACTGAACGTCTGCCAAATTTTGTGAAGATATACATACTATATTAAAATTTAGTAGTATCAAAATTATAAATACTTTAAATGAGTGCAAAGAAGTCACGTGGTCCGTCAAATTGAGGTAGCCCATATTGAGAGAGTTAAAATGTAATTTTTTTTCACTTGGGAACAAAATGTCTTGGAACTTTTTTCTACTTAAAAATTACCTAATTTACAAAAAAAAAGTTTTACTGCAACTACATTTCTGTAATTTGCATACTTTAAGATTTATGATTGACAAAAAAACTTATATTTTGCATGCCATTGTTTTTCAAAAACTAATGAACTGCAGCCTTTTATTAACCCCTTATGTGGGATGGATTTGTATATATGCATGTACATATACATAAAATACACACACATACACACACACAGAGGTTGTATATGATGTATAAAGAGTTTCAATTCATTACAATACATCATATTAAAATGATTTTGGAGCCACACTACATTGTTACAGTCCATGTTGTCACATCCTTTTAAACTCGATCTGCCACAAGTACATCTTGACAATAGCCCTACAGCATAGTTTCCATTTCTAAAGGGTCATTCATTCGTCTGTTGTGTCCAAAGAAAACCACTACTCTCTGATGCTTCCCATAATCAAATAGAACCTGTTTCTTAGAGAGAATGGTTAATGCTCGTGTTATTTGGTTCTTCGAATCAGAGAACCTCCTCTTGCCCATCCAGTGTGGGTTCTGACGACAGCACTCCACTGTAGACCACCTTATTTGACTTGAAACTTCGAGCAGGGAAGCCTTTCTCAAGAAAGGCTTATGACACTACGAGAAGGGTTATATGGTCATCTACCCATTTTCATTCAGAATTTTTACTCAACAAACAATTCCAAGTTTGTGTGGTTTCAACACATTCCCATTCTTTCACACAGTAACTTGGAGTCCCTCAGGGCTGTGTCTTGAGTGTCACATTTTTCAGTATCAAGATCAGTGCTATCACTTCACAACTTCCTCCTACTGTTTCAAATGGGCTCTATGTCAATGACTTCCACATCTTGTGTCAGTCATTGAACATGAATTTGATTGAGCAGCAGCTTCAGACTGCCTTCAATTGCATGTTCAAGTGGACCACAGCTAACAGTTTAAATTTTCTTTTTCCATAGCTGTTTACATGCATTTTTGTCACCAACAAGGTCTATACCCCACTCTCGAACTCTATCTCAATGATGTTATTCTTCCTGTGGTACCTTAGGCAAAGTTCTTTGGGCTTATATTTGACCGTAAGCTTACTTTCATTACTCACATGTAGTAGCTATGTGTTAAGTGTATAAGGGCACTAAACATCTTCTTGTGTCCTCTCTTCCACCTCTTGGGGAGCAGATCAATGTTCTATGCTCTAGTTCTTTTGTGTCCTTATTTTTTCCAAACTGCACTATGGATCTCTGGTTTATGGTTCTGCCAGGACCTCAGCCTTGAAGATGCTGAACCCCATTCACCATTTGGGGCTTTGGCTCTGCACGGGGGCTTTCTGCACTTCTCCACTTCAAAGTTTGTACACTGAGTCTCACGAACCTCCTCTTCACCTCTGCCATTTGGAACTTTCTTTACAATATGCTATTAAGCTTCCATTTTTACCACAGCATCCCACCTAAGATTATGTCTTTCTTCCTCAGTTGGCTGTGCTCTTTTAGAACAGATGGTCTGCAGTTCTTACCTTTAGCCTTCATATCCAGGCACAACTGGCTGAATTGGTTTTGACATTGGATGACGTTGCTGTCCCCAGTGATCAGCCCATTCCACCATGGCTTATTACCATCTCCAAATGTGACCTTTCCTTGAGTTATCTAAGGAAGGCAGACACTCCCAATTCTTCTATGGATGGTTCAAAATCAGGTGACTGTGGGCTCTGCCATGGTTTGTTGTGACTTCGTGGTTGCTCACTGGATCCCCTTTACAGTTTCTGTGTTCACTGCCAAATTGTCTGCCATTTCTCTTGCCCTAGGTTATGCAGTACAGCAATTGTACTATGTGCACTGACTCTCTTAGCTCTCTCTCTACTGGCCCTGGAACTGCTCAACACTTTTAGTATGGACTCAGTCAATTTGACCAACCACATGACTTTTTTGTACTCGTTTAAAGTCTTTATAGATTTAATACTTATAACTCTCAATATAGTGGGTATATCTTCACAAAATTTGGCAGTCTTTCAGCTCATATTATAAGTCTTTCGAATACAAAAAATTATATTTCTAGTAAAGTATTTTTAATAAACTAAAATAAAGATTTGTCCATGAATATATTGAGTATTTGTTTTGAATAGTTCGTGTGCAAAGTAATTTTCATGTTAAAATTAAAAATACTTTTCCTCATCTCAGAAATTTCTAATTTCCTTTTTCTAATCCCTAAAACCTCCTATATGCATTTCAAGTGCTATATATTGGTCGCAGTTTTTGTTTATCTGATACTGACCCACCAATGTGTAGCCTTTGTGACACTCAAGTCATAATAGCCCACATTTTACTGTCATGCCATCACTACGACCATGAGTGGCAGTACTTAAACATACACTTTCTACGGTTTTACCCTTCATTGGTGATGGTGACACTGTCCAACTTGACCATGTTTTTAGCTTTTTGCAGGTTTTATGCCTTTTTAATTCTATTTAAATGTTTTTACCTGATTTTTGCACTTTGTTTAGTTTTTAACTTGATTTCTCTTTATATTTTATAATCTTTTACCTTTGAAATTTTCACCAGTTTGGCACAGATAGCCCTGTTCCTTTGCACCATAAAACAGCAATCAACCAACCATTTTGACACATGTTCTTTTCTTATTGTTTGTTTCTACCTCTCACCCTTGTTTTTACCCTGTATCATTATATTAAGGTTTACACTGTGATGGCATTGGTATGCCTAGTCCCTCATGGGCTTCAGGTCGGTTCACCCTTGCGACTTTTAGGGCAGGCTCCCAAATTCTAGACCACCTGTTGTGGGTTCAGTCTTACCTGTTTGAGGAAATGGGTCCCAATTTTCCTGATCTTCCTACCTATGCCCTGTTTTCCTGTCTTCGGTCTTCCTCTGACACTCTTTGTAAATCCTCACCTCAATCCTCTTCCTGTCCGAGGCTCTTCACAGGGACCCTATGAGGTTTTTGAGGACATAGTCTCTCTCTTCCCTTGCACTTTTGGCTGCATGCTATCT